AGGAAGGAAGGAAGGAAGGAAGGAAGGAAGGAAGGAAGGAAGGAAGGAAGGAAGGAAGGAAGGAAGGAGGGAGATGATAATGAGAGTGAGGGAGGGTCTGAAGGAAGTCCTGCTTTAGCACTTGGCCACCACCGGATGCCCCCCTCCCCACCCGACACAAGTGACATCGAGTTGGCTACACTGCCGGCCACGCCCACTCCCCCGAGGTCAAACACAACCCTGATACAGCCCTTAAGGAAATCGAGTTCGACACCCCTGGGCTGCGGCAACCTTTACAAAATCTGCTGGAACTTGCTTCCTATTTCACGATCCTTTACGCTTAAATATTTACTCCTACACCGGAAGAGGCTGGACAACCATTTGTTTGGAATGGTATAGGGCCGTCATGGCGAACTTAGGGCACGAGTGCCACAGGTGCCACAGGGAGCCATATTTGCCCGCAACGGCAGCCCTCAGCTCCGGTGCCCCCGCCAGATGTTTTTCAGCAGGTGCCATTTCCACCCTCCCCAAGCTTCAGGAAAGTCTCCGGAGCCTGGGGAGGGCGAAAAACAGGGCCAAAGAGCAAACTGGACATGCGCGGGGAGGGAGGTCGTGGGCACATGCGCAGGTGGGGGGAGCACGCATGCAATAGCATGCATATGCGCAGTTTGGGCACACCTTTAGAAAAAATGTTAGCCATCACCTGGTATAGGGTGTCCTGCCTGAGCTGGAGGTTGGACTAGAAGACCTCCAAGGTCCCTTCCAATTCCGATATTCTGTTATTGCATCCTGTTTCTCTTTTGTTTCCTTAGTGTCTAAAAGCTGAAGATATGGCCAACGCTGTCATATATGTTCTCAGCGCCCCACCTCATGTACAGGTAAGGACTGCAGGGTTCCTGAATGTATTTTTTTTTGTAAATGGGTGGGATGGGGGAAGGTTATTTTTACGAGGATCTCTGGAGACTTCATCCCCACCCACACATCACCCCAAGTGCTGCAAAAATTATTCTGACTTTATGGAACCACTAACTCAAGGATGCTATGGCGTCACTAGTGCAATGACATCATTCTTTTAAAAAAAGTTTTGTATTTTTAGACCAAAGACAAACAAAACACAGAACTTAAAACCCTCTTCAATTATATACGGCATGTTGATAGGTTACAAAGCTTTTGTGCATCCTTTCTTCGCTTTCAATTATATATAAAATCACAGATTATCAATGTAGTGTGTGTATATATATATAATGTACATTGATAATATGTATGTATGTATGTATGTATTGTATTGTATTGTATTGTATTGTATTGTATTGTATTGTATTGTATTGTATTGTATCACAAGCCCTGGTATGCCCAAATATGGGAG